TTTTAGGAAGACCGTATATATATATATATTAGGCTCCTTGAAACCACTGTTGAGCTTACTCATACTCTATATTTTCTAGTTCTTTTTCTCTCTTTGTTTTAGTTTGAATAGTTTTATTTCTATATCTTCACATTTACTAATTTTATTTTCCTGCAGGGTCTAATCTGCTATTAATCTCATCCAGTGTATGCTTACTCTCAGACATGTTAGTTTTCACATCTAGAAGTTAGATTTGGTCCCTTTTAAATATCTTCCATGTCTGCTTAATATGTTCTATTTTTCGGCTGGACTTGGTGGCTCAGCCTGTAATCCCGCGATTTGGGAGGCCGAGGTGAATGGATTGCCTGAGCCCGTAGGTTTGAGACCCGCCTGGCAACTTGGTGAGACCTCATCTCTACAGTAAATCAAAAACTAGCCGGGCATAATAGCGCTCGCCTGTAGTTCCATCTACTTGGAAGGCTGAGTGGAAGGATTGCCGGAGCCCAGCAGGTCGAGGCTGCGGTAGCCGGGAGTGTGCCACTGCACTACAGTCTGGGCGAGAGAGTGAGACTTCAACTCAAAAAAAAAAAAAAGTTCTATTTTTCTCTAGCTTCTTGAACATATGAAATACAACTAGGGTAGCGGTTATAATGCTCTAAACCACTCATTCTGTCATCTGAATAGTTTCTGAGTTGGTTTTGAGTAGTTGAGTTGGTTTTGATTGGTTGTTTATTTTCTCCTCCTTTTTAAGTATGTTTTCCCCCTTCTTTGTGTGCTGTTACTTTTGTATGGACGTCAATAGCTTGGGCTTTTGCAGCCCCATAAATATCTTTGTTCTGGGATACAGTCAGATGATCTGGATGCATCTGATCTTTACAGGTCTTGCTTTTAAGCTTTGTTAGTTGGAACCACAGCAGCATTTAGTCTAGAGGTAAGTCTTTCTATTTCTCAGGCAAAACCCTCCTGCATATTCTACTTTGTTTCTCACGAATCATGAGGTTTTCCACACTCTCGTAGGAATAGGAGATATTCCTGGCTTATGTAAGGCTCAGGTGTTGTTCCCTTGAATTCTGTTTTGTTTTCTTTTGGTTTTTTTGAGTCAGAATCTCAACTGTCGCCCAGGCTGCAGTGGCACGCTGATGGCCACCGCCACCTTGACCTGCTGGGCTCAGGCAATCCTTCTGCTTTAGCCCTCCAAGTAGTAGGAACTACAGGTGCACACCACCACACCTGGCTAATTTTTCTTGATTTATTGTAGAGACGAGGTCTTGCCATGTTGCTCAGGATGATCTCAAACCCCTGGGCTCAGGCAATCCTCTCGCCTCTGCCTCCCAAAGTGCTGGGATTACAGGCATGAGCCACCATGCCCAGTTCCTCTAATTCTTTCAGGTGGTTCTTTCCCCAATGCGTGTGTTGATCAGTACCTAGAAACTGCTCATGGGAGCCCCGTGCAGAGCTCCATAGCTCTTTCTCGGGGTAGCTGTCTCTTCTCTGGTACTCTGCTCCGTGAACTCAGATGTCTTGGACTTTCTGGACTCCCAGATCCATTTCCTCAACTCAAGAAGACTGCCAGGCTCCACAGGATTCCTCCTTCCTGTGCAGTGGAACTTCCTGCAAGCAAGAAGTGGATACCTTATTGCCAGCCTCATTGACTGTCCTTCTCTCAGGGACCCCTGTCCTTTGTTGCCTGATGCCCAGTGTCTTGATGGTTGTATAGATTTTACCCATTTTAACTTTTCTTTTTCCAGCTAGGAGAGAAAATCTAGTCTCATTTTGGCTGGAAATAGGAGTTCAATTGTCCAAAGTGTTTTTTAAAAATCCTACTTTTGGCGGGGGGGGGGGGG